AGCAATATGTTCTCTATGCAAACTGCTATCAAAGCTAGAGGAGGGTTCACGAGCTGAGGTTTTATGATGGCCTGTGATTGAAAATTTATTAATAATTCTGAGAACCTTCCCGGAGTTTTTGAAGATCTTAATCAAGCTTAACTTCGCTCTATTGGCTTCGCAGTTATCTCGAAAGATAAAGTCAAGCCAGAGTTAGTTTTCCATGGTTTTTCATATGATTTGGCGATTGTTATGAGATAGGATGATAGAATTCGCAAATCGGCTTTTGACATTGAACTTTTATTCGAATTACAAACAGGCTGACCAGAGGATGATAGAATTCGCAAATGGGCTTTTGACATTGAACTTTTGTTTGAATTACAAACAGGCTGACCAGTTTGGCCCGTCTTCTATCTCTTTCCCTTGCAACACTTTAATTGGAATCGGTACCACTTTGAATGAAATGCCAAATAGTGTCAAGGAAAACCAGTACATGAAACCTGAAGATGAATGTGATGTAGTGTATAATCCGAAAAGAATAACTTGACCTATTCAGTGTGTGCTTTGTTAGTCCCATCAATTCGTTACAGGACCATCTTCCACAAAAACAGAAGAGCATAAGTCGATTCGGGGAAAACGTGACTATTACTACTCACCATACTACTATGTCAATCAACTGTTGGTGGCACCTGACCCACCAAATCCCTATCTCCAGAAGTGGATCACGCATGAGCACAATCGTTACCGAAGGATGGTGAGTGAATTGGCTTTGTATGGATCTCCTGTTCTCGGAGCCCTTCTGAATTGTGAGGCCTTTCCAGGTGCCTGCTTCTGATATGAACATGCTCTACTGGTCCCATGAATTGGCGGCTTCTGCACAGCGACATGCAAACACCTGCGATTTCCGGCATTCAAGAGGTCGAGTTAACGTCGGCGAAAATATCTGGGCAGCTCCCTACAGCAATTATTCCGATGCGATTTCACTATGGTTCAATGAGGTTGGTCATTTTAACAAGTAGTGTTGATGGTGATCAACCCGCCTCTGCTTATTTACCCCTCTGGTGTCCGGATAGGTATTCAAGGACTACCCGCTTGAGATTATGTTGTCGGATTTAACAGGAGCTCTTCCAAATCACCTCGAATGACCATCAGCTCTTCAAGAGCTCCCAATCTCCGCTTTCATCCATCATTTTTGGCAGCTTCAAAAACTTTAAATTACCCTCAAAAGTATTCTGATGCATTACCTGCATACAATAACTGTAAAATCGAAGATCGAGATGGTCGTGCGGTATCAATTTACAAGAGTCAGTCGTATAATGAAGACCGACACCTTGAAGAGCAGTTCGAAAGTTTTTAGTGCCCTGGTGCCATTACCACGCCTCAAACCTGGGATCAGATCCCATCCAATACCCCCTTCCTGCATCCCCCTCTCCCCCCCCCCCCCC